TAAACTCTAAAATAAAACTATGAAATTTTTGACTAGTAATATATAAAAGGCATGGCAGAGAGAAACTTTATCTTCCTGTTTTGCCCTTTAATTTTAAACTATTTCTCTATAATTTAGTGGCATTTCTGTCTCAAATTACATTATTACACACTCTCTCTCTCGAAAATTACACCATTCATCCATATTCCTTCGTCTCTCTCCAAAATTACACCACCCCATTCACATTCCTCCATCTTTCCACTGCTCTCTCTAAAATTACATTTACTTCTCTCAAAATTAATCTTCCAAGTTTTCATTTCCATACATCCCACCCATTCAAAGTCTCTCATCTCTCTACTATTTTTTTCATAAACTATTAATGAAGTGTTAAATTATAATTTATAGGAAAATTTCAAAATTACTATAACTTAATTTCCTACAACTATGTAAAGAAAAAAAAAATCTTTACCTCCAACTTTTTCTTCACCAAAATTCAATCTTCTATTATTCTCATAGATCTTTTTGTCTTTTAGTAAATGTCGTTGAAGAATCAATAGGAAAGTGAATAGCAAGATTATGTGAACTACATTATTGTACTATAGGAGGGTGTTGGTGGCAACATTGAATTGCTAAAAAGGATGGGGAGTCGACATGAAGAAGAAGGTCGAACACATGAGAGTGAAAAAAAGAATAAGGTGGAACACGTGAGAGTGAAAGAAGATGAAGGTGGAACGACGCGAGAGCGAAAGAAGACGAAATTGTGTGCACGGTTTAGTCTTTCTTTTATGTATTTTATTTTATATTTGATAAAACTGTTTGAATTATTTGGACCGTAACTTTGCTGAGTTTTTCTTTAGCATTTTATAATTTGTATTATTTATTTCTTTTTACCTCGTCCATTCACTTTCTCCATCTCTCCACTATTTTCTCTCAAATTTAATTTTCTCATAAATTATTGATGAATGGTTAATTACTTTTATTATTTAATATTTAATAACCAAAAGTTGTACCTCTTTGTTTTTAAAAATTAATTTTAAAAGAATTATTTTAAATACGTAAGATTGCTGGCTAAAAGATCTATAATCAACTTATTTATCTTTTTAAATTGGTATTATTCTAATAATTTACTTAATTCAATTATGAAATCAACTTCTTGAATTTTTGTAAAATTAATTTATATTATAAATTTTAACTATATTTTTTTTTTATGTATTTTTCATACTTTAAAAGAAAACTTCTAATTTCACATAGTTGTATTAAAAAATGAGAAAAAAATCAATGAGAATGCGAGTAATTATTGTAAAGAAAATTTGTAAATAAATTATAGTTCGGCTTCAAATTTTAAAAATATATTTCAAATACTTCTCCAAACCTGACATTTTTAGATTTTTAGATTTTAAATTCTAAAACACAAAACAGTTGAAAAAAATGAAAACTTTGATATATATATATATTGAATTTTTATTAAAATTAGAACATGTAAGCTTGGCCATTCGATTAAGGTTCTTTCGATCGAGAAAGAGAAAGAGAACTCTTATTCATCCGGAAGTGACTGAACTCCCTTTTAAGCTAACTGCATCGGTTATGCCGACAACAACATATTCTCTAGCAAAAGAAATGACCTTACCAAAGTGGATGATTGACTCATTCCATACTAGAAATAATCGCAGGAAATCCTTTGATAACACGGATTCCTATTTCTCAATGATATCCCACGATCAAGACAATTGGCTAAATCCCGGGATCACTCATTCTTCCATTGGGGATAGGTGCACGAACAACAACTCCAAACGTCACACATCTGTCGCCTACCTACCGTTTAGGTGGCACCCTAGGTTTTTTTCTGGTTAAAACGGTCGATTTTTCATTTGCCAATGAATTGGATCCGCCCCGATTTGATCAATAATGGGACCGTCCTAAGGTTCAACCAACCGTTGGTTTGCTTTAACAAGATTTCACGGAAGTGAACCCGACGCGAAGTTAGTGAAACCTGAGCGTAGCTATGTCACGTGAAGTGAAGAACCTCTGCTTCCTGCCCCAATCCAAGGAAGGGCTTTTGGTGAGGAGCATTGTTTTGAGGGAGGGAAAGCGTGGTTGACAAGCCACTTCGAGGAGGCGACAGTGCTTAAACCTCTCTTCTTTCTGTCAGTCTACTTTACTGACTGAAAAACGGGAAGTCACTCATTCAAACCTCCCGCCCTTGGGTTAGTTCCTTTCGTCCTTCTATCTACGCAATTCTCTGTCTTCGTTCGTGATCATGTTGGGCGAAAGATAGTTGTAGAGGAGCGGCTGTGAAACGGCGATTCCATTTCACAATATACATTGTCCGAGAAAGCTAGTCTTGGTCACGTACGGTTCCTTTGAGAAGGGTGTGATACCACCACCTATCAGGCCCGACATAATATCTTATAAATCATATGATATATTAAAAATATCAAAATTTATAATATATATAAATTAATTAATTAGTAATATTTTAGATTAAACTAAATATTAAATTTGTAATTACCACTAATTTACGAATATATCCACCTTTAACCATTTTTTTAAATTGAGATGCTTGGCGGTCCAAAATTTTAGGTGAGGGGCACAAATTCATAAAATAAAATGAGAAAATATCAATTTTAACTATGAACTTGGTAATGTATATCAATTTTTTCTATAAACTTTCAATTTTGCCGAATTGTACCTTAAACTTGGACAAGTGTATGCTTCTCGTTAAACTATGGAATTTATTTGAAAATTTGTTGAAATAAATATTCTATATGTGTGAAATGAATTATAATAAATATATTTTCTATGAAATAAATAAGATTCAAACAAAAACTACACAAAGTTCAGTTTTTTTTCCCTAAAATTTATAAATTGTATTTTAACATAGATATTTAATGGTCTATTTTGTACCTTGATCAAACTTAATTTGAGTACATTTTTATTTTTATTAAATTAGCGATCTTTATGGAGCTTTTTATATTGCTTTTTATTTAAATTAATGTGTATAAATTAAATAGATTTAGAAGGTAAATACTGCAACACTTATAAAAATTTAGGGTTGAATTTGATCAGATTGGTGAAAATTGTTACGACATACCTAGTTTAGGGATTTATAGATAAAAAAATTATCAAATATACATTTATTATAAATATTCAGATTAAATAAATATTGAAAAATAAACTACAATAAATTATTAGGTATGATATTACTTTCTCTCGTATAAATATTAAAGGTTAAAATACTAGTTTAGTCCTGTACTTTTAAGGCTTTGATTCATTTAAGTCCTTATACTTTTAAAATATCCGCTTCTGATTGGATTCAATTTGCAAATCTGTTACCGAAAGTTATTCAAAAATACTGAAAATATAGAATACAATTTTTGTTTTTCATTAAATCGTTTATCTTATATAATTGTCCTATCTTATATACCATGATCATTCCCTTCCCTCGTCAATGTGGAACTTTGTTTGCAATTCAACTTACAAACCCAACACAAACAATTAAGGGAAAAATTATTACCCAAACTGTAAAAGGTAATAAAATAAATTCTAATAAATAATTCTCTAAAATAATTCAGGGAGGATCTTACCTAAATTCAAATAATATAATATCCTCTTGATTGAAGTATATATCAATTACCATCAAACTTTTGACATATATCCATATGATTATTTCTAATTACACTCAAACTCTTTACACACTAAGTTTTTTTTTTACTTCAACCTAATCTACAAGAACCAAATTTCTTTAATCGTTATTATTATACTTTTCCCATTTTATAGAATTAAAAAAAAATAAAACTCGAGTTAAATTTTAAAATCTGATAACAGACTTCAAAAGGTTGGCGTATTTTTATAACGATGAAGGTCTTAATTGTAAAAATTTTATAAATTGAGCTATCATCGGTTATTGAAAGTTTAAGAGTGTAATTAAAACGATAGTTTTTTGTTGTAATTTTTCCATTATCAAATCACATGGCATTAGTTTAGTACTGTTCAAGTGTTTGAACAACAACTTTACTTTTTTATCCCAAAAATTTACTTTTTAAAGTTTTATTTGATTCAAAAATGTATTTTCATAATTTGTGTATTTTCAAAACATTTATTTTAATCCATATACGTTTAATTTATTTTGATCAAATTTTAACACAACATTTCAATCGCTAAATTTCTTTGATGTATCAATAAATTTATATTAAATAGTTCCTATAACACTCGTGCTTAAATTTTACAAATAGGGATTAAATTGGTCAAATTTTTAAAGTAGACAAATCAAACTGAACGTTTTAAAAGTACGATCATGATATTATATTTCCGTCAACATGTCTATATTTTTATGTGTCTATGAGTACAACATTGACACTAGGGATGAATTCACATTTTCAAGTATTGGAAAAAATCGACAAAATATATAAAATATCTATATAACATCACTAATATGAACATAATGTTAAATATTAACCATTTTTAACTTATCTAAAAAATTAAAATGCTTGTTTGTTTATTTAAATATTTCTAATGAATTTTTACTTTTATAATTTTTCCATAAATATCATTCCACATCGACATCTTATCTATATTTCAACATATTTATATCAAATTAAAATCTCGACATTTTCATCGATATTGAAAATTAGTTTTTTTCTTTTTAATCCGATTGTAGACGCAGGGCCATTTGTTGGATAACCACCACGCATCTTCCCCACCAACGTAAACGTGTTAAAAATAAAAGGGTAAAAGAAAATCCACGTTTTTTTTTTCCACCCACGTAAATAATAAATAGAAAGGGCAAAGTAGTAATTCTGAATGAAAATAGGCCAATCATTTTCCGGTGCGGTCGTTACCAGACAAATTTGGGACGTGGCATATTCCCATTCTCGAACTGATAATGATCGGTCAAAGTCAACGAACAGCACCGACGACGCGCTTTGAATCCAAAACACGCGTTCCGCGAGTGGTCTTCACGCGCTAAGTTTGGATAGAAATAAAAGAGGCGTTTCCTCGTCTTCTCATTTGGTAATCCCCTCGTCTTCTCAGCGGACTCTGATTTCTCACCGTTTTCTCCAATTGGGTCAAAGAAGAACTGAATTTGTTCCATTCCGCCGATTTGGTAAAAATTCTTTCCGATTTCTTCTGAATTTGGTCTTTTGATTTTCCGTTTGGATCTCGAGAATTCCGGGGGAGTTTTGGGATTTGAGGATTTGAGGGGTTAGATCTGTGCTTTTGGTGTTGCTTTAGATCCGGAGGGCATGGCGGAGGCGTTTGTGATTGTGAATTGATTGTGAATCTGCGGTTCTGTTTGTGGATCTGATAATAATTTAGTTTTTTGATCTCTTGATCTGCGATCTGTGTGGCTTTTATCCATTGCAGCATGTTTAAAAGCTAGTTATTGTGTTGTCTTATTTGAGATCTGATTCTTGGAGCGGGGGTTTGGTAATCGTTGCGGACAGGGAAATTTTTTTTTGTATGTTATGCGAGATTTTTTTATTTGATTGATCTAGATCGGAGTCGGTTCGATTCAAAATTTTAGTGTTTTCTGCCATAGTTTGTTTCCACGATCGGGGTTTCTGATCTTACTATTTAAAATCTTGCCATTGTCTCGATCTAAATCAGCACTTCAACATTTATTGCTTTGTTATATGGTTTTTTAATTTCTCTGTTTCTGATGAGTTTTCGTTTCAGATTTGTTTGTACAGCCGAATCTTGTGTTTTTTCGGCCATGTTTGATAACTTTTTACGGCTTGAAAAATTATGTACTGATACATTCTTTTATTGAACAATCTTAACAAATCTGTAGAACAAATAGGGGAATAGATTGTGCTGCTCTGGCAGTTGCTAAGTCATCTTGTTATAGCACCATTTTTTCATGGCTGATTTTGTTTATTGTTCTGAAGGTCCGTATATCAATTGTGTAATACCATTCCAAAACAATGGCTCTTGCATCTGTTGAAGGAAGGTCAACGCTAAACCCGAACGCCCCTCTTTTCATCCCGGCCGCCTACCAGGTGGAGGATTTCTCCCCACAATGGTGGCAGCTGGTCACGACCTCGACATGGTACCGCGACTACTGGCTCAGCCAACACCAGGAAGAGAGCGATTTCTACATCGAAGACGACTTCAACAGCAACGACATTGCCGATTTGCTGCCAGAGGCCTTCGACCT